AGTAACCAAAAGATAGCTAGAAAAGTTAGCTTTCAGATAGGCTTTAATGTGTTTTGCGATTTTTTGCGAAACATGTTGAAATCAGGAATAAGAAGTTAAGTGTTCTTTGAAAATATCTGTTTCTTAGTTATATAATCTGCGGTGTATACCGTAGCAAGCTTTACAATGCCTTTTTCAAAGCACACCAATACGCACACACATACACACACGCACCATATATCTATCTTTTATGGATCATGAGTTATGATTTTTTTAAACAAGCAGGTTAGGGTGGCCCCTAGACAATCGGCATTCTTTAAATATCGTTTTATACGTTAATTTCTCGTGAAATTTTTATACCATATACTTTAAGAACTTTTTATGACGCATATTTTTACTAAGTTGTTATCTCTTTAATTTGAAAAGTTATGACTAGTTTTGTTGAAAAATATTACTTTTTTTTAAATTTAATTAAATGCTTTAAACACAAAAAGTTCTTGCAGTTTTTTTTTACCAAAAATGAAAAAAACGATGTTTCCAATGAAGTTAAATGTTTGAAAATCGGTTTGCTCCATTCTGAGATATTGACAATTGAAAAGAGTCATTTTTTCGAGGAAAATAGCCTTTAACTTTCTAATCAAAAAAGATAGTAACCTAGTTGCTTGACCAAAAATGTGCGTCATCAAAAGTTCTAAGCGTAATCACAATGTTTTTGCAAGAAATTAACGCCTGAAAAGATATTCAAAGAAAACCGATTTTAGTGGCCACCCTAAACTGCTTGTTTAAAAAATCATAACTCATGAACCATAAGAGATAAAAACGTTGTGTCTTCTACAAAGTTGCTTTGAACTTAATGTTCTACAACTGTTTAGAACACTGCTTTGGTCGATCTCAAATAATAAAAAGTTTGTATTTTTAATTCACCAATTTTATGGACCACCCTAATTTTACGAACATAAATAGATTGAACAAAAAATATGAAGCAACTTTCCCTAAGAAACTATATACCTAAAACTGACAGTTTGGGCGCAAACATTTTTGTCTTCCTAGGTAAATACGGCTGAGACCATTGTGCATTGGATTTGGTCAAGGTTGCAAAGACTCATTTCAGCTAAAATAATGTTTTTCGGAATAATAAAACCAAAAGATGGTATGATGGCATGTTTAACTTGTAACTTACAAGAAGAGGTTACAAAGTATGCGTTGGAAACATAAAACCTGTAAATTTTGCTTTCTATGAGTCACAATCAGCGATTTGCTGATCGCTGAGTGAGTGAGTGAGTGAGTGAGTGAGTGAGTGAGTTTGTGGAAAATCGCTGATTGTGACTCTCATGAAGTGAAATAAACAGGTTTAATGTGTCAAACACATTCTTTGCAACCTCTTCTTGTATCCTACCAATTCAAAATTTGATCATGGCATCTAATTATTTCATAATTTAGAAAAACATTGTTTTAGCTGAAATGAGTCTTTGCAACATTGGTTTTGGTTCTACTATACTCCTTTTTGTGACGTCTTGATTGTCAAGCTTTCTTCGTACAGCTAAAAAACATCTATTTCAACTGTGTTTTGCCTATTAGCAACAATTTTGAGGTTTTGGCCAACTTTTGTTCTAAGGGGAACCACTGTGCTATGAGGCCCCACACGATTTGCTTGCACTCCCCCTTTTGTTCTGGGACAATATCCTATCACTTCACAATTCCAGCCAAAACAAATGGAAGACACCCTGATTGCAACATGTGAATAATGCAGAACAAGTTTGAAATTGTTCTGGAGCCAAATTGGTTTTGAAAATAAGGTCAAACTACCACCATAGAGGTAACTCTAAGACCAGAAGGTCCCGAAGAAACGAGCTCAACTTTTTGGCTCAGCTCTGGTACTATCTTCGGTCCCAAGCTAATCGATTCACCCCTCGAAATATAGGAAAATCCACTAATCCCTCATTTTATCTGTCATCGATTTGATTGGGACCAATAGGCTAGTCAAGTAGTGAGCCAATTTATAATCGGTAGTTTCGTATTGATTGTTACTACCACCGAATAGCTTAGCCGCTCTATTCAGCTTCCCTACCTACATAAGCGGTCCCTAACCGGTGGAAACTAAAGATTTTAAATTGGTTTTTCCTATGTTTCGAGGGGTACATCGATTAGTTTGGGACCGAAGATAGTACTAGAGCTGAGCCAAAAAGATGAGCACGTTTCTTCGAGACCTACTAGTCTTAGAGTTACCTCTATGGTCCCTCCGCGTTCTGCCGCTGTTGTAATTGTAATTGTTCAGTGTATAAGCTGTGCCAACCGCTAAGTTGGCTTATCTAGGGACTAACCCCCTAGTCTATACACCTACTGTCCTTCCCGTTGCACTCGTCAGCTCGTGCGATACTCTAGACACACATGGCTGGTCGTATCCGGGTCCTCTCTTGGGTAGGCTCGTGTCCGTCCAGGTTCTGGTACATTAACTTATATCTATGCATGGTAATTATACTTTACAACTCAACTTTTGAATATAAATGTCGATAATGCTGAAACTATATGAATGTTAGTGATCATTATTAGGTGTGTGCTGCAATGGAGTAGTAATTGAAGGAAATGAGGTTCTCATGTGGCTTATAGGTAATTCTAAAATAGGAAAATCATGCAAGCACACACGCTTTTTTCCTTCTTCCTATTGAAAATCTGGCCGTGTTCCCATTTGTTTTCAGGTAGGTAATATTAGTACATGAGAGGAAGAAAGAAATACAACAAGTTAAGTGTGAGCCGCATGCGTTGGTTAGTCGTTTGGGTCATGGTGTTGTGTTCCCTATTTTATTTGCCTCTATTCAGCTCTCAGATCGCCCCTCCTCCCAAAATATTGTGGATGAGAAAAAGAACCCATATTTGGTAACCTCTCGCCAGCTGCAATGAATAACAAACAAATCTAGATAACCCTCGCAAGTGGTTCATGGAACAATCATTTAACGGGCAATTTAAAAGTATCTTAGTTGGTAGTACCACCACCTGTGGCACGCATAGTCAATTCCCTTGCGTTTGAGGTTTACACACTACCATCACATCACCGACAAACCGACATGAAACTTAAACTTAACTCTTGATCGAGAAGCCATAACGGCCGATTCAAATGTGCTGCGATCCCATTTGTCAAAACCATAGAAATGTTTTATTTAGATAAAAATAATTTGTCCGAAATAGAATAGACACGAACCAACCGTGAACACGGCAGCAGATGTCAGTTTTGTGTTATGATCAGGTATGATCATTCATGTCGGTTTATCGGTGATTAGAGCCGCATTTCACTTGAAATTGCTACTGCACTTAAAGTTTCGAAGTGGTAGCAAGAATAAGGATCTCACACCGAATCACCTTAATCGGTTGTTGCCCCACCGGAAGATATTTTCTATAAAGAAAACTGTGGCGGCGGATGCCATTAGAGGTCACAGCTTGAACTCTTGGCAGACCGGATAGTTTGTCGGCACTCGTTGCGTTTTGCTCTGTAGGTGGCCATGGCCGCTTCTTTCGGCGGATGATCCGAAGGTAGCCGCTTAGCAGCCCGAAGAGCCTTCCTTCTGGCTTTAACTGCTGCTTTGGAATCTGGGGACCACCATGGTAGAGACTTAGATCCCGGGTTGGGACTGGTTCGTGGAATTGATGAAAGTGCCGCTTGATGGATGGAGCTAATGAAGTCTTGGATACTGCCCGGTGTTGAATTGGACCATGCGGCGTCGACGGTCTTCTGAAAAAAGGACCAGTCAGCCTGGTCGTATTTTCATCGCGATTTAATGTGGTCTGCGGTCGGTCATCGAGTTGGATTTCCCGGGGGGAATGGTCACTGCCCATGGGATCATCCCCGGCATTCTAGAGGAGCCTGCTGACAACGCTAACGCTTGCAAGAGATACGTCTACAGAGGATTCCCTCTGTCCGCTGGTGAAAGTGATGGACCCGTCGTTAAGAACGACGACGACTGTCCAAAACTGATTGCATCGTTAACGTATGTTTTAAATTAACGGGGTATGTATGAGTTAATCGGTTCACAGAATCCCATGCATTCAATGTAATGCCAGAGACATGTCTACCATGGACAATTTCTTTCCTAAGCCAGAACATCGTTTAACAAAAAAAAAATCGCAAATATTTTATTGTAGCATTTGTCGGCATCACTTAAAACTTACCTTACTTTTAATCCTTCTTACATTACATTCATTTGCTCAATTTTCTTTATCCTATCTTACGTCCTTGACACCTAACGTTGAGCAAAGTTCTATGTGTAATCTTACTTGTTTTATTCTTCTACTAATGAGAATGAGATGCGTCTTATTTAAACCCTTGGTGGCGGGCGCAGATCTGGGAGTGTCTCTGTGTCTTACTTAGCTTTAGTTTTCCAACAACACAAGAAAAATTAAGGGAAACAAAAAACTGGTGAGATTCTACTGTTCTGATTCGAGCATGCGTGTGTTGTGATGAGATTGGATGGGATGGGATGGGAACAATGCTCAAACGGTGACGAGCTAAAGCGTATTGCGTTCCTAACTAGGTTTACTGTTTTTTGTAATATTTGATTTCAAAATGCAAGCAGTCGTCGCTACTTCTTATGAAGAAGTTCTAGCGAGCAGATTGATTTTTGATGAAGAAACATTCGTGATTGGTTTAAGGTGTCACTGAGCGGAAGTGGAGAAGTTTAAATCACCTTTATTAAAATTTTCCGACTTATTGATTGTAAGTACTTAAATTGGACGTCAGATCTGTGGATCATTGCTGAATATTATAATCGTGCGGGTCGGGACAAAAGATATCCGAAACATATTTGGCACTGTAAAAATTTGTTCATACAAAAAGAGGATAAGGAAAATCTAGAGTTCATAAATAAAAATTTAGTTCGATGTTAAAAACGTGACGTCACTTGAAGCGAAATGGACCTGTTCAAAAGAAGGTCAAAGTCGTTTTTCGTAAGGAAAGGTCAAAACTACTATCACTTTGAGATTCTACGAACTAAAATGGAGGCTGTACATTACCAACTAAAAAAGTCGTCCTGTTACTAGCCTTCCTCTTCGTTTTCCTCTTTGGCAGTCATGAACATCTTCTGACAGAACTGCGTCACCTGGCGGAGGGCATTCTCGAACGATGCCGGTTTGTCCTTCCACGCCACCCCGACGTAGTAGACGGGAATGCCGGCCAGGGTCAATAGGACACCCATACCCACCTCGTAGGGGGCCACGTAGCACGGGATAACGATCAGGAATGCACAGATGATGACGAACAGCGTGGGAACCCACAGTGGGACCTTGATCGGCCGGTTGATGTCGGGTCGGGTGTAGCGGAAATACAGGACCGCACTTACCGAGAGCATGATGAAGAAGGACTCCACGATGCTACTGTAGGTGATCAGCACGTACACGTCGCTGATGAACAGGTAGAGCAGCGACAGCATGCACTGTAATGGATTTAGTACACGAGGTTTAGATTGCAGTTAATTTATTGTTGACGTTGGCACTTACGAGAAACACCAGCGAAGGCATCGGAGTGTACCGGTTGACGTTGATATGCGAGAGGATTTCCGGCATGTGGCCGTTGCGGGCGCCGACGAAGCACATCCGCGACGAGGTCATGATGTGCACGGACAGACCACCGAAGGCCGAGATGGCGACCAGGATGGGCATCACGAAGGCACCCCAGCCCATGGCTTTCTGGGCGAATGTCTGTGGATGAACGTGGAAGGGAGGGAAGAAGATTTGTAATGTTTGTATTGAATGGCAGTCGATAATGAATGGGAGCTTATTTTAGTACCAGAAAGGCTCGGATGCCACGGTCAACACAGAGTCAGCATGTAGAGAAATCATATTTTTGGAAGATGCAAATCAACTTTCATATAAGGGTGTGCTCCAATTATGGCCTACGGGAATTCCCATAGACAGAGACAAAGCTTATGGTATTGTTTGTATGGTGTTTTTGCGCTGGTTTGATTAATGGTTTTTTTTATCATACGGGTTAGCGAAAAATTATTTTCTCCGTTGTGTATCGTTGCATAAACACGTCAGCAATCAGCGAGAAGTGAAGTTCGTCGTGGAAATATCGTTTATAGTGTATATTTCGAGTTGTGAAATTAGTGCTGAATCAATTTCGTATCGGAAATCTTGTGCTTACTGCTGTGTTATTGTTATCAAGATCAGACGCACTGCTGAATCCACCTCCACCGTTGGAGCGACGAGCGTATTAGAGGCATCTCAACACGCGTGTTCAGTTGCTATCATATTCATCATGAGTTGTTCTGCTTGATGAAGAGTCCGTCTCCTGCATGGCTTTCTGTGATAGGATAATACACATGAGGTGCGCGAACACGAAGCTGAACAAGGCTTTTCTGAACATAATCCACTCAAGTCCGAACTTGTACTGGATGTGTGACGAGTGCGTAACTTTGAAATGTGCCAGATTTAAAACAACAGTCTCGTCGTTTGGAAGCGCAATCAAGTCTATTACCGAGAGGCAAGAAATTGCACATGCTGAGATCAGACAGGAAATGGCCAAACAAGGACAGCAAATTGCTCAGTTGACGAGACGAATCGCGTCATCCTCTCCGACAAATCTGGATTCCGGAAATATCACCCGTCAACCCCCATTGAAACGTCGCCGTGATGAAGCCCTACTGACTAGCAAACCACTTGTTGGTGGTACTAAAGCGGTGACTGATGCTGATGTTCGGACTGTTCCTGAGCCTGCTGAGTTGTTCTGGCTGTACCTCTCCCGTATTCACCCTAGCGTGAAACCGGAATCAATTGAGAAGCTAGTCAAAACTAGCGTTCAGTGCGAAGATCCGGTAAAGGTTGTGCCGCTTGTGAACAAGGGATCCGATACGAGTCGAAAGAGCTTTATTTCGTACAAGGTCGGTGGTTACAAAACTACGCGAAATTGCTTTGAGTTCGGATACTTGACACAAGTTCAAAAAACATGTGGTTGCCTCGTTTGAACACGCCGACCATCTCAATCTCTCCTGTTTCGGGTCCTTCGCATTATTCCAATCCCGTCGCCGGAATGGATGGCATCTAATTCCGAGTTACATGCAGCGTTGCACAATCGAAGCTGCAGCATCACTTGATGAAGTCGATTTTATTCCCAATTCCTGTAAACCAGAACGCACTGCCTGTCGCACTATGGGGGACCTCGTTCCGCTCGATCCGGTCGCGCACGCTGTTTCCAGTCATCATAGTCGTTCTGGCCCTGCGGTCGAGTATGGCGGTGAGGTCCCCCAACATTCATGTTCAGGCAAGTATGCTTCCAGTAGCAACAGGTATTTGTCTGATCAGTTTTCGAGTTCCAGTGTTACGCCTCTAGATACCAAATCCTTCACCGACTTCCTCCTGTTGAGTAGCATTTCTGTTGCCAACGGCATTAAACAACCACTGTACAGCATGAGTCACCAAACTTCACGCCCGGGTCGCACTATGGACTGCATTTTGGAAGCCCCTGGTTCCTCTAGTCCAGTCCCGCTGATTCCTGCCAGCGCTCATCACAGTCGTCCCGGTCCTGTGACTAGATGTGGTTCAGGGGTCTTCCAGCTTGCTTCAACAGGCAAGAACAAATGTGATCAAGACAATTCTTCGCCTGATATGCCTTCAGCACGTCTTGCATTTCCAATGTTGCCTATTTCAATCCTGAACATCACGGTCTGCAGTCCACCGATGACGGCTTCCTTTAAAGGGTGATACGGTCAAAATTTGGTCAAGGGAAAACGCGTGTAAATCGGTGAAATCGTTTATTTAAAAAATCAAATTAAATTTCTTTTTCAAGTTCAATTAGTATAAAATTCAGGAAAAATATTCAGTTAGGCTTCCGCTTTTCCAAATCCGAATTGCCGGGCCTTACGCTTGACCCCTGCCATCAGATTTTGTACAGCCACCTTGTCCACCTTCTTCGCCGCAGAAAGCCAGTTTGCCTTGAACTGCTGCTCGTCCTTAGCAGTTTTTTTGGTCTTCTTTAGGTTCCGCTTGACAATAGCCCAGTATTTCTCAATTGGGCGGAGCTCTGGCGTGTTGGGAGGGTTCTTGTCCTTGGGAACCACCTGCACGTTGTTGGCGGCGTACCACTCCATGACCTTTTTACCGTAATGGCAAGATGCCAAATCCGGCCAAAACAGTACGGAACAACCGTGTTTCTTCAGGAAAGGCAGCAGACGTTTATTCAAACACTCTTTCACGTAAATTTCTTGGTTGAAAGTCCCGGAAGCTATGAAAATGCTGCTTTTCAAGCCACAGGTACAGATGGCTTGCCAAACCAGATATTTCTTTGCGAACTTTGACAGTTTCATGTGCTTGAAAACATCTGCTACCTTTCCCCTTCCTTTTGCCGTATAAAACTCCTGTCCCGGAAGCTGCTTGTAGTCGGCTTTGACGTAGGTTTCGTCGTCCATTACCACGCAGTCAAACTTCGTCAGCATCGTCGTGTACAGCCTCCGGGATCGCGCTTTGGCCGTCGTATTTTGTTTATCATCGCGATTTGGAGTCACTACCTTCTTGTAAGTCGATAGTCCGGCTCGTTTTTTGGCTCGATGCACGGTTGTAGACGATACACCCAGCTTATTTGCGGCATCTCGGAGAGAGAGGTTAGGGTTTCGCTTGAAACTACCGGCAACTCTCTTTGTCGTCTCAGCGGCTTCCGGTTTTCGATTTCCCCCCGATCCAGACTTCCTGGCTGTCGACAAACGTTCCCCAAACACTTTAATTACATTTGTAACGGTTGATTTGGCAACTTTTAGCGATTTTGCCAACTTTGCGTGCGAGTAGCTCGGATTTTCGCGATGCGCGAGCAAAATTTTGATACACTGCTCTTCTTGCTTGGACGGCATTTTGACAACTGAAGAGTGAATTCCAAAATCAAAATAGGAGCAACATTCTCTACACTCACACCCTCAAAATGAGGGGTGTTCAGGTTTTTTAAATGCAAAATTGAAAGAAATACGTCAAGTTGATATTGACCAAATTTTGACCGTATCACCCTTTATAACACCGATTCTGAACATACTGCACCGAATCGTAGCTGCCACGTTTCTGAAACGCATTGCCTACCGCCCCATGGAAGCCCCTAAGCCTCTCAACGCAGTCGTGAGTTGCCCTGTGGTTGAGAACGGTGAGGGGATCTTCCAACCTTCGATTTCAGGCAAGTATGTGTTTATTGAAACCAATTCCTCGTCTGATCAGCCTCCACGTTTCAGCGCAACGTCTTCTTCACCACCGACTGAACCTTGCCTTCCCGATTGCCAACCTATGTTATCCGATGGACTTGTGGTGTAGTTATTATCAAAATGTTCGTGGCTTGCGAACTAAAATTGACGACTTATTCTTGACTGCTGTTGAGTCCAACTACGATGCAATAGTTCTTACCGAGAGCTGGCTAGATGATCGAATTCACTCAGCACAATTATTTGGAAGTAGGTTCTCAGTTTTTCGTAATGACCGTAGCCGGATGAACAGTGCCAAATCACGCGGTGGTGGCTGCGTTGAGAACCATATCAGTTCCATTGGTTCTGTATTGTCCCGATTACATCACAACGATCTCGCTCTGCTATTTGGCGACTATAACCAGTCTGGGCTTGTTTGGAATATTTCCGCGAATGATCATCCAACCATTGACATTCTTCGGTCGTACATGCCTGCTTCCTGCTGTGCTCTTTTGGATGGTTTTAGCCTGCATGGTTTAATGCAAATTAATTCTGTACCAAACAGAAACTCTTGGCTGCTTGATCTTGTGTTGGTGAACGAAGCCGCCGCACTTGAGTGCAATGTCGCTGATTCATCTAGACGCCGATCATGCAGCGTTGGAAGCATTCATCAATCGATCAGTTCCTGTTCTCTATGAAAACATTGTTGATGTACAAAGTCTGGACTTTCGTAGAACTGACTACGTCGCATTGAATCACTCACTGGCCCAGGCAGATTGGCAGTCGCTTGACTTGTGTTCGTCCATTGATGAAGCCGTTAACTATTTCGACGAAGTTGTTAGCCGAATAATAATATTGTGTGCCTCTGAGGAGATCTGCTCCAAAACCTGCATGGTCCAATGCTCGATTACAACACTTGAAGCGTGTGAGATCGAAGGCTCTTCGAAAATACAGCCAGTCCCGTAATCCATTCACCAAGCGATTATTTTCGTTAGCAAGTAATTGGTACCGAATGTACAACCGTTTTCTATACAAGAAGTACTCAAGACGTATGCAGACCAATCTCCGGCGTAATCCTAAGCTATTATGGACGTTTGTGAAGACAAAAAGGAAAGAGGATGGGCTACCGGTTGAGATTCATCTAAGCGATAAAAGAGCCAACACTTCTTTAGAGAAATGTAACCTCCTGGCTGAGCATTTCAAGAGTGTTTTCAACGATTCAACTGCATCGTTAAGCCAAGTTGCTGAAGGGATCAGAGATACTCCCAGTGACGCGTTCAGCTTTGATATTTTCACGGTCACATTGGACCTCGTCGGCTCTGCCATCCAGAAGCTGAAATTCTCGAACGCTGTTGGGTCTGACGGCATTCCATCGTCCATACTCAAAAGAAGCTCAACAGAGCTTTCTTCTCCGCTTTCAAAGCTGTTCAATATTTCGTTACAACAAGGTGTATTTCCCGCTCGTTGGAAATCTTCGTTCATGTTCCCGATTTTCAAGAAAGGAGGCAAACAAAATGTGGAGAATTACCGAGGAATTGCTTCACTTTGTGCCTGCTCGAAAGTATTCGAGATAATCATCAACGACGCTTTATTTGCCAGCTGTAGAAACTGCATTTCTCCTGATTCCATCCCAAACGTTCGGTCTCAACAAACCTCGCTCCTTTCATTTCCCTATGCCTACGGAATATGGAGGCAGGGGCACAGGTGGACGTCGTATACACGGATCTCAAGGCTGCTTTCGACCGGGTTGATCATGCCATTCTAATTGCCAAACTCGAGAAGCTTGGTGTTTCTCATGGACTCACTCGTTGGTTTGAATCGTATCTTACCAATCGAGAGCTTTGTGTGAAAATCGGGTCTGATCAATCGGAATATTTTTCAAACAACTCAGGCGTTCCTCAAGGCAGCAATTTGGGACCGCTGCTATTCTCCATATTCATTAACGAAATCGGTTTGATACTTCCAACTGGCTGCCGGTCATTCTATGCAGACGATGTCAAGATGTACGTGGTTGTGCGATGCTTCACTGACTGCCTGCGGTTGCAGCACCTGATCGATAGTTTCGAAGAGTGGTGCTCTAGGAATTTTCTCACCTTGAGTGTTCAAAAATGCAAGATCATCCCTTTCCATCGCAAGCTAAAACCTATTGCATTCAATTAAACGATCGATAACCAACCTCTGCAGCGTGTGGACAACGTTCGTGATCTAGGAATTACACTTGATTCTGCTTTGACATTTAAGCTACATTACACGGATATCATAGCCAAAGCTAACAGGCAATTCGGATTCATCTTCAAGATCTCTGATGAGCTTCGGGATCCTACCTGCCTGACAGCTCTATATTGTTCTCTAGTGCGATCGAGCTTGGAATTTGGTGAAGTAGTATGGTGTCCGTATGAAACAGTTTGGATAGCGAGGATCGAGTCTGTTCAGGAGAAATTCGTTCGTTACGCTCTTCGCCACCTTCCTTGGTACGATCCTACGAACCTTCCACCCTACGAAGATCGTTGCCAACTACTGGGTATTGAAACTCTGACTAATTGGTACACCCACCCTAGTACCGTCCCCCTATCTTGTGCAATCGCTCTTCAATGTTCATTAAATTAGCCTGCATCTTCATATGCGATATTGATTCCAGTTGAACTCCAGAGATTCAATTATAGGTCAGACACCGCCGGCAATTGCGGTCCGATGGAAAACGCGTCTGACAACAAGCAATCAGCAACTTGTTACCGATCGTCGATGACAAGTGAAAGTGTTTCAAATGCTAATTTGCTGCTGTGATGGTCAACAGAGACCGATGTGAATCATCAATCAAGGAAGCACATGGAAACTTACCACGGCGATGGCGTCCGAGGAGAGAATTTGCTGCGGCGACAGCACGGCAACGTAGGCCATATTAGCCAGCACGTAGATACCGGTGACCAACGGAAGGGAGATGTAGATCGCCCGCGGGAGATTCTTGTACGGATCACGCAGTTCCTCGGTCATGAAGTTGAGATAGTTCCTGTGGAATAAATCACCATTCACAATAACGAATTTCCGCTGGATTTAAATCGTTTCCTTACCATCCAGCGTACGAGAAGATACCGGAGTAGAATGCAACCGCCAGCTTGCCCGGGTCGGTTTCCGTGTTCTCGAATGCATTTTCGAAATTTTCCGTTCCTCCGAGCCACATCCACACCACACCGACTATGATGACCAGCACCAGGGCACCGATCTTGGTGAACATGAATATGTTTTGCATTTTGGTCGTCACCCGCACGTCGTACGCATTGATGTAGGTGAGCGCACAGATCGTGACCGCGGCGAACATCTGCAGCCCTATCGTCGGTACGGAACAACCGGCGGCGAACAGCGGCTGGAACACGTAACTGGCAAAGGTCAGGCCCATGATGGCGTTGGTGCTCGGTCTAAAATCGATATACAAAATTAAAATCCTACCCCCCTTTGGTCGAATTTAAAACTACTCACACAAAAATCACCGTCGCATCCCACAGATACAGGAAGGCCGGCAGGGGACCGTACGCTTCGTAAATGTAGGCATAATCTCCTCCGGATTTCGGTATCGCCGTGCCCAACTCGGCATAGCACAGTGCTCCAATCATCGACAGTAGCCCACAGGTCACCCAAATCACCAGGGAAGTCCCCACGGCGCCAACCTCCTGTAGGACACCCTTCGGCGAAATGAAGATTCCGGAACCGAAGATAATCCCCAAGATGATGGCCACTCCCTCCATCAGGCCCAGTTCTTTCTTCATTTTGACTCGCTGCTCACCTTCAGACCCGCTGGTGACGCCATTCTCGATCGATGGTAAACTCTCGCTACCCGGACTGACCAGCACATCTTCCGTCGGCGAGTGCAGCTCCAGGGCCGCCGTTCGTTGCTTCAATACCATTTTCTAATCTACCTTACTTAGATAACTTATTGTACTTTGATTGAAACTGGGCTCGCACTGCTCTATGACTGGATTGGCGCGCTCATCGAAGACCCTAGAAGCGCCAATCAGGTCGTCTTCGTCGTCGTCGTCGTCGTCTTGGATGTGAGATGTGGGATGGACCTGTAAGTTTGAGAAAGAGAAAAAATGGCAATGAGAGAAACGATAAAAAATGCAATATGTTTGTTATATCACTCTTAGATCGGAGGAACCCCCCGCTAAACTTAACCGGCTCGAACCGGTATTGCGATGGGTTGCTTGGTGGATGGAGGGCGCACGTACGTGGCGAAGGGAGTAGGTAATCGGAGCCGAGCTGGCTGAGCATGAGCATCGATACAAATGCATAATAATAATTCTCGAGAATGGGGCCTCTGAGGGGGAAGGCAAGCATCGAGGTCTTTTTTATGTTTATTAAATTCCTGTCCGACTAATGGATTTATTATCATTCTCGAGGATGATTGTTCAACGGACGGTGGAAAATTTTGCCGGGAATTCGTCTCGCTCGGGTCTCGGGCCGTCGAGTCTGATTGCATTCTGTTTTTTTTTTTTAGTTATGACGACAATGATGTTGCGCGAAATGGTAGATTTAGGGAAGATAGTGTGTGATGAAGGTTATTTGAATGATATTTTTCTGTGATATAACTCATTTTTGGATTGTACCGAGACAATCATTGTTGTTATTCACATCGTCGTGATTTTGCGCTGTTAAATTTGATGATTTTATTTATCACACGGGCTATCGTTCTTCGTTTTTCCCGTTCTGTAGACTTGCAAAATTTTACCGGTTGTTAGTGGAAAGATTTGGAGCATATTCCGTGTTGTGAAAACAGTGAAAAAGTTATCTTATCGGTCATCTTGCAGTGTTTACAGTTGTGTTATATTGTCGATATTAGACGCTCCGCAGAATCCAACTCCTCCTTGCGTATTAGAGCATCTTCATCGCTGTTTCTAAATTACATTTTGAAACTGAGTCAGCATGACTTCCACCTGTGACCAATGCGCTAAACCAGTTGAACAAGGCTAGTCTGAATATTGTCCACACTAGCCCGAACTTGTTTTGGATGTGCAAATAGTGCGCGAAGCTGATGAAATGTGCCCGGTTCAAAATTGCTATTTCGTCGTTTGGTAGAGCGATTAATTCTATCACCGAGAAACAGGAAATCGTACACGCTGAGATCGCTCAGCTGTCGAAACGAATCACATTGACAACTCCAACACACTTGAGTTCCGGCGATCTTATGCGTCAACCGCCATTAGAACAGCGCCGCGATGAAGGCTCGCTCACCAGCAAAGTCACTTGTTGGTGGTACTAAAGCAGTAATGGATGACAATGTCTTTACCGAGGTCCTCACTATCCCTGAACCCACCGAGCTGTTTTGGCTGTACCTTTCTCGTATTCATCCTAGCGTGAAATCGGAATCAATCGAGAAGATGGTCAAAGGTTGTGTACAGTGCGATGATCCGATTAAGGTTGTGCCGCTAGTTAAAAAAGGATCCGACATCAGCCGTATGAGTTACGTATCGTACAAAGTCGGATTGGCTCCCAAACTACACTTACATCGGATACATGGTCGAAAGGAATTTTGTTCCGTGAATTTGAAGACGGTTAAAAAAACATGTGGATGCCTCGTTTGAACACGCCAGCCACCACGATCTCTCCTGTTCCGGGACCTTCCGAGCTCTCAACTCCCATCTCCGGACTAGACCCAGTATGCTGATTCAGAATTGAATATAAATCAGAACGCACTGTCTGCCGCATTATGGGAGACATCGAACCACTCGATCCAGTCGCGCTAGCTGTTTCACGCCATCAAAGTCGTTCTATTTCCTACCATCAGCGTCGTTCTGGACCTGCGGTCGAGTTCGGTGGTGGGGTCAGTAATTTTCCTGATCAGCTTCCGCGTTCCAGTGCAACGCCTCAAGCATCTGCCGGCTGTTTCCAGTTGAGAAGCACTTCTGATACTGCTCATTCATAACATCCGCTTTACTGTTCGAACAATCCTAATTCAAGGTTGCAAAGACTCATTTCAGCTAAAACAATGTTTTTCTAAATTATGAAATAATTAGATGCCATGATCAAATTATGAATTGGTAGGATACAAGAAGAGGTTGCAAAGAATGTGTTTGACATATTAAACCTGTTTATTTCACTTCATGAGAGTCACAATCAGCGATTTTTCACAAACTCACTCACTCACTCACTCACCGATCAGCAAATCGCTGATTGTGACTCATAGAAAGCAAAATTTACAGGTTTTATGTTTCCAACGCATACTTTGTAACCTCTTCTTGTAAGTTACAAGTAAAACATGCCATCATACCATCTTTTGGTTTTATTATTCCGAAAAACATTATTTTAGCTGAAATGAGTCTTTGCAACCTTGTCCTAATTCATCTCCGGGACGCACAATAGACCGCTCTTTGGAAGCTCCTGGTTCCTCCAGCCCAGTCGTGCCGATCCCTGCCAGCGTTCAGCATAGTCGTCCTGGACCTGTGGCTGGATATGAATCAGGAGTCTTGCACCTTGCCTCTACTGGCAAGTACAATCAATATATTGAATATTCACTGCCTGATGCCGATCAAATTTTCAGCAATTCGGACTATGTTAGTCAGCCCCCAATCCCTCCGTCTCAGTCCTGCCATCAGCAGCCTTCGTTCATCATAGTCGTTCCGGACCTGCTGTCGGATGTGGAGAGGGGGTCTTCCAACCCACTCACTATGGCGAGTATCCAATGAGACTTGATGATAGTCAGTTATTGCTTGATGTATCTGTGATTTCCAGGGAGAGCAGTCGTTCGATTCCTTGCCGGAAGCAGGACGTCGTGATCTTCTACCAACACACGGGTGGAATGAATTCTGATGTTGAAGAGTACCGCCTAGCTGTATCGGATTGTTGCTACGATGTAATTGTCCTGTGCGAAACGTGGCTCGCTTATCGAACGCTTTCCGTCAAGTCTACGAGGTCTTTCGTTGCGATCGGAATCCTAACAACAGCTGTAAATCTACTGGTGGAGGTGTCCTTGTAGCTGTCCGTGCACGGCATACAGCGTGGCTGGTTGGAGGCAAAGGCCATCGAGAACGATTCATGGAACTCTGTGGAGCAGGTTTGGGCAGCCATCAATCTGGGTGATCGCACACTATTTCTATGCGCTCTGTACATTCCACATGATCGAGTCCGGGACAACGAACTCATCGATACTCACTGTTGGTCAGTTTTCACAGTTATCGAAAGTGCCACTCCAGTTGATGAGATAATCATTTTTGGTGACTTCAATCTGCAAGTCGTTTCGTGGAGTCCATCTCATAGCGGATTATTGTACCAAGATCCTGATGGATCTACATTTCACGCAGGATCTATTAGCCTTCTTGACAACTACAGCGCAGCGACGCTTTATCAAATTAACCATGTAGCTAACGAAAATGATCGTAGTTTGGACCTCTGCTTCGTGAGCACAGAGGACAGGGATCCATTAATTTCCTCGGCTCCTTGTACACTAACTAAGCTAGTTCCACATCACCCTCCTCTAATTGTCACTGCTGATTCACAAATTCGTGCTTGATTTAGACGATTATCCTGCTACGGTTTCTTATGACTTCCGTAAAGCTGACCACCGTAGCATCATAGATGTATTGTCTAGCATGGTATGGGAGAACCTCCTTGATCCAGATGACGTTGAGGCTGCAGCGCAAACCTTTTCACATGTCTTGGCATATGTCATTGACAGACACGTCCCGAAAAGAACTCACCACAAAGTGTCTCACCCTCCCTGGCAGACGAGAGAGCTACGTAGGTTGAAGTCAATCAAGAGAGCAGCATTGAGAAGATTTACGAAGTATTGCACGCTTCCTCTGAAACTACATTATGTGAGGTTGAATCACATGTATCAGCGAGTCAGTCATGAATGCTTTTCAAGTTTCCAACGGAGCATCCAGCGCAAACTTAAGCTACACCCGAAATCCTTTTGGAACTACGTGAACGAACAACGCAGGGAATCCGGCCTCCCATCGTCTATGGAATTCAACGGAGAAGTTGCTGCCACTGTTAAGGATATATGCCACCTTTTTTTTCCGAAAAGTTTGCCAGTGTATTCACTAATGAGATACTAACTGACGACCATATTAACCTGGCTGCCAGGAACGTTTCAGTAAATGATCAAACGCTGGGTGCAATTGATCTTAATGCTGAGATGATTTCTAAGGCCGCGACTCTGCTCAAGTCATCCTTCAATCCTGGACCTGATGGAGTTCCATCTGTATTTTTGAAGAGACATTGTTAATTCCGCTTTTTCGCCTGTTTCGAATGTCTCTCTCCAGTGGGATATTTCCATCTTGCCGGATAACTATCGAGGAATTACATCGTTAAGTGCCGTTTCGAGCTAGCGATTATGGAACCGTTGCTGTCCCATTGCAAGTAGTATTTTTTTTTTATTTCCATTTCGTCAAGCCAGTGTAGACTACATACAATGATTATTACATTGTTTACTTACATACTATGCATTAATTCTATTCTGTTTTAGCTTAGTTTTTATTTGCTGCTTGGACATAGTGATGTCAATAGTTCCGCAATGCAAATTATATAGGCGCATCATTCGATTGATTGGGCTATTTTTTGCATAGTTTGTTCTGTACGATGTTTCTGAAAATAAATTCCGTGTTCTAAGATATCGACAAGGTGTGTAAAAGTTTAATTGTGCGAGAATTTCTGCCGAATCTATGCGCATTGAAATAATGTCGTTGATGAAGAAAAGCATTGCAAATTGGCGGCGCTCCTTAAGTGTTTGTATATTGATGAGCATGCAGCGCGCTTCATAAGATGGTAATGGAAAAGCAGTCCAATTCAATTTACGTAAAGCATATAAAAGGAATTGTTTTTGGACAGAGTCTATGCGTTCTTCGTGTATGGAAATGTATGGATTCCATACTAGGTGGCAGTATTCCAGAATTGGCCTTACATATGTGGTATATAATAGCTTAATAGTGTATAGGTCTTCGAAATTATGACTGAACCTTTTGATGAAGCCTAACATTCTGTTTGCTTTACTAATGATAGTATTATAATGTTCTATAAAAGTTAGTTTGGAGTCTAGGATTACACCTAGATCTCTTACAATTTTGCTTTTTTC